CCCTCTGTACCCCTGGCTTAAGAGTGCAGTGGCATCATCATAGTTCACTGCAGCCTCAAACTCCTGGGCTTCAGTGATCCTCCTGCCTCAGCCTCCTGAGTAGCTGGGACTACAGAAACACACTACAATGTTCAGTTACTTTTTTTCTAGTTTTGGTAGAGGTAGGGTCTCGCTCTTTCTCAGGCTGGTCTCCAACTCCTGAGCTCAAGAGATCCTCCTGCCTCAGCCTCCCAGAGTGTTAGGATTACAGGCATGAGCCATGCCTGGCCCTCATGATCTGTTCGTATTTCTCTTGTCTTGTTTTGGATCCTCCTCTCTCCATATCATCTGTGGGCTTCATTTTCTCCTGTGTCAAATGGGGACAGTATGCAATGCCTAAGAGGTATCTGTGTGTGAACATACTGCATTAAGATCCCAAGTGAGTATGGGGTAATCTTTCCTGCCCCACTTATGTAGATCCACTCAGTCCAAAATTGTCTCTTTGATGATCTAGCTACGACAATGCCAAATAAGCTTCAGGAGGCTGAGCTACACATTATTCGTCGTGAGAAATGTTTGGAGATACTTGAGAAAAAGACGGGGCGTAACTTTATCTTGGGAAATGCTGTTTGTGCCTATGCTGAAGGAAAAGATTCCTGCAAGGTCAGTTCAAGGGCCCTTTGCTGCCTCAGCATTATGGTGTCTTGTTAAAGCTTTATCAAGCTCAGCCAACTGGGTCTAGGTTATGTCCTAGCTTTTCCGTTTGCCATTATTCATATGAATGAGAGGTGAGGACAAGGGACCAAGGCTTTCCTGATCCTTCAGGAGAGAGCAGTTTATAAAGCTCAGAGTGGGGGCAGGATAAATCTGGGGACAAATCCGAGACCCTGAGCACTCACCAAAACATAGATACCATGTTTTAAGCCCCTTTTATGTGACAGGCAATGTACTTTACTCTTTATTATCTTAGAGTAGGTGTGTTTTCTTTATATATTCAGCTTTTGGAATACAATTTTTTAAGTAGGTACACAACTTTTATTTATTAAATATGTTCAATTTCTCAAATCTCACATTGCCTGAAACCTAGGGCTGAGGTGTTGGGCAAAGCTCTTGTGTCCTGCCTCCACAAGACCTTACAGTGCCATCAGCCTGCTCTGTTATGGATCCTGGTCTGTTCCTGCAGTTTGTTTTTTTCTTTCTCCAGGGAGATTCTGGGGGACCCCTGGTCTGTGAATTAAATGATACCTGGATCCAGGTCGGGATTGTGAGTTGGGGCCTTGGCTGTGCTAAGAAAGGATTTCCAGGAATTTATACGGAAGTTAGTTTCTATAAGGACTGGATCATTGCTCACATGAGTCAAGCTTCCTGTCTGAACTCAGTAGGCTTCCTTGTTCTAATCCTGTGTCTGGTGCTGCCTCTGGACATCCTGGTGACACTATGATGGCCCCAGCCCACCTTCCTGTTTTTGAGTCTCCCGTGTAGGGGTTTCCTCTGACCAACCTCCCACTCCTCAGTGCCCTTTCCTCAAATCCCTGTTTGGATGCACTGGCCTTCTGGAGCCCCACACAAGTGAACCTGGTGGGGAGACTGTGGCTTGGAAAGTGTCCCTGCCTGATGCTCTGGTCACCCCATCTGGGCTATGCTCTAACTTGTGGGAATGAAGTGATGAATTGATCCTAGCTGGGAGGCCAGGTGACTTGCCAGGAAGGTGCGATGACTTGTCACCATCTTGGAGAACACCTGCCAAAGAAGAGACATCATCAACTGTGAAGCAAGCTTTAGACCTGAGATTGTGAAACCAGTCAGGTCGGTGATTGCTCCGAGAGAGTGAGGAGGCATTGGCAATCCCTGCAGAGGTGCAAGGCCTGGCTTGCTCAGTAGTCCGGGGCGAGGAGAAGATCTCCTAAAGCCCACTGTGGATCCATCTATGAGTAGAGAGCTGTTGCCACACAAGGCCTCTTGGGGTGACCCCTTCTTGGTACCCTTTTCCTCAGTATCCTGCTGGCCATTTTCAGGGACACCCTTTGTTGTTTTGAGGCAGTAATGGAGTGGGGAGTTTTCGGAAATCATCTGAATAAATGTTTGGAGAGTCTTTTGTGTGTTCTCAAGTTCTGCCCACCTGGGGGGTGGGGGCGCGTGTAACATACTTTGAGGGGAACTGGTTTTTTATTTACTTTAGGAAGATAGTCATGGTCTCCATCAAACTCTGGCAGAGCCAGAAATGAGGGAGCTTGTCTTCCCTCATGCAATATGACAGGTGTGGCCTTCCCCAGTGGGTCCTGCTGTGTGTATAAGAACTGTTTCA